TTTATGGAAACGCATGATCTTTGTCTTTGAGTAATTTACAGTAAGTAACTCTTTTTGGCATTGTGCACTAAATTTTTCCAACGCCCTATTTAAACCTCCTCTAGTACGTGAGAGAAGCACAGCGTCATCTGCATACATTAAAACCGGGATTTTTCTTCCCATGCCCAAGGTAGGTGCTGAAATATCAATTTCATGCAAGCAAGTTATCAAACAATTAACATACAGATTAAATAAAAAAGGAGCAAGAAGGCAGCCCTGTCTGACACCTTTTTGGGCTTGAATAGATCTTGATAGCTTACCATCAGCAGTGTAACGTATTTGTAAAGATGTATTTTTATACAAATTAGACATCAACACCAATAATCTCTTGTCTATAGTTGACTGCTCCAATTTAGCCCATAGTCTTTCCCTCACAACCGAGTCAAAGGCCGCTTTCAGATCGATAAATGCAGCATATAGGACTCCCTTGTGATTATGCGTATATTTTTGTACTAAATAATCAAGGACCAAACAGTGATCCAAGGTAGAACGGCCTTTTATAAACCCCCCCTGTTCAATTTCAAGTATTTTTTCCTGTTCTAACCATCTACATAGTTTCAAACACAAATGTTTGGTGTAAAGTTTACATATAATGTTAATCAAACTAATGGGTCTATAATTATTGGGATCCGCTCTATTGTTTTTCTTAAATATCGGAATTATTATAGCCAACCCCCATTCCTCTGGGATTCGTCCTGTCAGATCAATATATGTAAAGAGGTTGGCCAAAATCGGGGTCCACCAGGTTGAATTAGCTTTCAGTAGCTCTGCTGTAATATAATCAGGACCCATTCTCTGCCCAAGTAACTTGGCGTGGCGTAAAGGAAGATGATGGATGTGCTTTAAGCTTGTCATTGCCTCGCAGATCTGGATCCAGGATTGCAGTGACCTCTAGGGAGGGGGTGGAAATTGCTGCTGCTAAAGCTATCCCTGATGTGGATGGTCCAGGCTAGCCTGATCTCATCAGGTCTCAGGAGCTAAGCAGAATCAGCTGCAGTTGGTACTTGGATGGGAGACTGATGAGGAATTCCAGGGTTGCTGTGCAGAGCCAGGCAATGGCAAACCACCTCTGAACATCTTTTGCCTTGAAAGCTCTACAGCAGGGGTGTCAAACTCATTTGTTATGAGGGCCGGATCTGACATAAATGAGACCTTGTTGGGCCGGGCCATGTATGTTGTAAAATGTAATGCCAGGTAGCGGAGATATAAACTTTATAAAGGACACAGACACAAAAGGGGTGTTTTTTTACTTAAAATAAAAAGTTGCTTAAAATATTAGCACTCTTGCAATATTTTGGTTTTTTTACAGTGTCTGATAACTGACACCTCTTGCTCTGAATTATTGCATCAAAATGTCTGTGCCGTTGAAATCTTGAGTATGCTGTTCAGGTGTGTATCTGTAAGCTGCAAACCTATGATGATGCAGCAGCAGCAAAACTGGAAGAAGAAACAGAAGACAGCCAGTTCCACTGCGGGCCTGATAGAAGCCCTCCGGGGGGCCTGATCCAGCCCCCGGGCCGCATGTTTGACACCCCTGCTCTACAGGGTCTCCATGAGCTGGTTGCACCTTGCTGACACTTTCCACCACAATGATCCCTGCCACTCAGCTACAAAGGCATAATGTCCTGTTTGAATCAAGAACTGGCAAGACGACGCATTGGAAACATCTAGAACCAGGGGTCATTTCGTAGTAAAAGAGCTGCAAGAACTCATTAGCATAACTTATTAGCATATGCCACACCCCCTGACATCACTGGAAGTGTGCACCAGCCCCTCTGACAGGCAGAAGCACCTGGGATCCATTCTTTCCCCCCTCTCCCTTCCCTTCGCCTCCAAGTCGGGCGAAGGAAAAGGGGAGGGGGAGGATCTCAGGCGCTTCTGCCTGACAGAGGTGCTGGCATGCCCACAGCCAGCCTGGGTGAATTATAGAATCATAGACTCATAGAGTGGGAAGGGACCTCCAGGGTCATCTAGTCCAACCCCCTGCACAATGCAGGAAATTCACCAATACCCCAGTGACCCCTGTTCCATGCCCAGAATATGATTTAAAAAAACCTCCAGGATCACTGGGGGCCAAACTGGCCCCAAAGTGGCGATCAGCATTTCCCTGGGCGTGTAAGAAAGGGTTGAGTCCAGTGCCTTTGAGTTGAGCCAAGAAACAAACGAGAAATCAGTGTAGTTAGTGCACAGTTGGTTTAATGTGCTCATTGCAGCGAGTCCCAGTTAGATCCTTTTAAAGTTGAAAGCATGATATAAATGCAAAGGACTATTTGTAAGATTATCTGTAAAACACAAGACCAGGATACATCATCAGTTGGAGAGACCCTATCACTCAGCTTCCATTGCCCCCCCCTGGAATAAGAACATAATATCAGGCCATATCAAATTGCAATAAAGCCCCTACAACTGTATACAGAAATACAGCTTCCCTACCAGCTTCCCTACCTTTTGCCACAACTAGCCCACCAGAACCAGGATCAAGACTCCCAAGTGGGCCAACAGGCAGGCATACACTCCTTTGAGAACATTACAGATCAGTAGAGGCAGCACTGCACAGTGTTGCAGATCGATGTGGGGAGACCCAGGTTTGTATTCTCACTCTGCTGGCTGAGTGACCCCGGGCCAAATCTCCCCTTCTCTACCTAACCTACCCCACAGGGGTGTTGTGAGGATGAAATGGAGACTCATGGGCAGGGTCCCCAGTTTCGCTGGCAGGAACACTATGTTAAGAAATCTCTCACAATTATGCAGCCATAGCAGGCAGGAGGGAAGGAGGCAAATACCTCCAGCGCCAGAGACTTGTAGAGGAAGAGTCAAACTTTGGGGACTCACCCGTGCACCAGAGGGCCAAGGCAGCAGGAGGCAAGAAGCCTGGGCGAGCTGGGCTCCTCCATGCCTGGCAGAAGATGAGGTGCAGAGGCGAGAGGTGGGCAAGCAGAAGAGGCACTCAGCCAGCCGCACAAGCTGCGTGCAAAGAAACTCCAGCCGCCCCAAGCTTCAGGGCTGCCTCGTTAAAGGAGTGCAGAGGCCAGACTCACAAATGAGAAAAAGCAAGCTCAGGGTT